TACTTTTATATATTAAACGTATATTGAGCTTGTAGTGTAAATGTAAATTACCATGACCTTAGACATAGAGTCGAATCAAATTTAATTGATTTTAACATTTTAGTTTATTTTAATGTAAATGATTTTTTCTTATTTTAGTTTATTCTAATATGAATGAACCTTATTTATTCCTGGCAAGAAATAAAGCTTTTTCATTACAGATTCCTATAACATTGAAAAACACTCTCGTAAGGAAAAATTTTGAACTAGAGTTGCAGAGCTTTACCCCAAAGGGAGCCCTTCCAGAAATTCTCGAAGGCCCGGGCAAAACCCAGGCCCAAGAGGGGGTTTGGAAATAGTTTTCAACCAGCAATTGACGCGCCTCGGTTAGAACCTCACTAGCTGCGTCATTGCCCCAAGCGCAAAGATGGTTTAAGCAATCACTTAGCTCTGGTTTTATATAAACTCCAACCTCAGTCATTCCTCCTCTCAGCGGTGTGGGACTTCCTTTACACTGTCCTCCTACCCTCCCTTGAATTGTCAACGCGGGGAACTACTATGTTTTGCTCTCCAACACCACACGCCACTTCAGCATTCTTTGCACTGAACAAAAAATTCCAAAATCATATTCTTCAAAACCTTATATATATAAAGAGAAGGTATATATCATAAAGTTTCATGTGAACAATCGAAGAAGAATGTGGAAGCAAACTATGGGATGCGTGAAGGATACATAGGGCGGCTAAAATAAAGCACATAAAACAACTCATATAACGTACAACTTCTTTTTGTCCAGTAAGTTATTTTCCATGTCTCACTTATGAAAATTGGGGCATTGCTCGATCCGCTAGTGGCAGCCACCATTTGAGAGAAGCAGATATTATACAAATAAGATGGGGAAAGAAAATTATTTCTTTTTCTTTTCCCAAATATAGAGGAAAATTTTCATCAATATTCCATTGAGGTGTAATTGAATGATAGCAATCATAGTTGGTTTGCGATTTTAAGTTACTTATTGTGTGTTGATTTCTAAGGCTTGCAGGCAAGCTTCGTCTGTCGGTGGAAATAGAAGGTGGTGGTTTTGAGAGAATCTTTGAATCTAGCTGGTTTGAATTGTTAAAATTTTCTTATTTTCTTTTTAATTTTATTTTGTTGTATGCACACATACACACAAATACACATACATACATAAATATGCATATATACATATATATTTTCTTCGTCGGTACATGCAACAGCGGCAAAAATGACAACTCATATATATATAAATAATATTTGGACAAATTAAGAATTCACATAAATATACGCAGGATTCTTTTTATTGAACTCATTTCCTTTCAAGAGGCAATTCTAGTTTATCTCAACAAATATATTTGTTAAGACCGGTGTTAATTTTTGCACATAATTAACTACTACGAATATAATTTTAATGCATTATTGACATAATATTTTTTAATATTATCAATTCAATTATGTATTATTAAATTATTAAATAAGTTTGATCATTATAAATATATATCTATTATGAGGTAGGATCATTTGACACCAGTGTCAAATTTGAAGTTTGATACCTCACCTGAGAGCAGTTAGATCAAAGAAGATCAACGACTCTGATTTGTAAGCATGTGACACCATTGATCTTTTTTGATCTAACGACTCTCAGGTGAGGTGTCAAACTTCAAATTTGACACTGGTGTCAAAGGATCCTACCTCATCTATTATATAAGGTCTAAATATTTTAATGACGAGTCAATAAATTAAATGATAGAATGCAAAATTATAATTATACACTAATAGGGTATCCAAATTGGATTTTTTTATCTAATTACGTATTGTTAAATTATTGAAAGATATTGACTTTTTAGGATTGTTTTCATCAAAACTGGTATTGTTTTAATAAGGGGATAATGCATTGTAAAATAACAATATAACCAAATTTTACATTAACTTGACTTAAACCCAAATATTAGTAAATAATGTTGTCTAATTGCATTTCATAATTCATGCGAAGAATTAAGAAAGATTAGAGTAATTTGATGATAACATTAAAAGAAATAGATGTAATAATATCAAATTTGTAGAAAAAATATTATTATTTATTATCTATTTTTGTTTGAAAATAAAAGTAATGCAATTTTTCGTAAATGATAGGTATAACTGTAATAATATCAAATATGTAAATATAGGTTGATGATGGTGAAAAAAATAAAAGACTTACTTACCGTGATTTAAATGATTACACTTAATTAATATATATATATATATATATATATATATATATATATATATTTTGAAGTATATAATGAGTCTTTGATACATTTTTAAATAACAGGGAAAAAAAACAGAAGAATGCAAGGGGAAAAAAAGATAAAGGAATCCACTTAAAAACAAAAATAAGATAATGGAATCTACTTTAAAAAAATAATATTATTAAAGGAATGGTCAATGAAGAGGCTGGATAAATTTGGTAATATTTGCATAGCCCTAAAGTATGACTATTATTTATGATGCAACAACCTAAAAGAAAATACATTCAACATTCCAATTTTGAACATTATTTTTCCTACATATTACGAATACAATTTGAAAAGAAAAGCTAAAAGCGAAAGATAAGAGAAATAAAACAGATAAGATATTAACTACAAAAAAAAAAAAAACAGATAAGATATATTATTACTTAATTGGAAATAGATAAACAAATGAATTCTTTTTCGGAATAACAATTCCCTGGTTTCCTTCTCTCTACTCCTTCTTTCTTTCTTTAATTGATCTAAATTAATTTAAATATGATCAAGTTAAAAAATCTATAATCCAATTAGCTGAAAATCAAAAAAAAAATTTGCATATTTTAATTGGATTCAATCGATTTTATATTTGGTTGGTAAAAATCGATCCAATCCAAACTGATCTAATATATTATATATTATTTTCGAAAGATGTTGATTTGAAATATTGTTATTTTGTACACTTGGAATCTTTTACGTTATTGATAACAAACTAACTTATTTTAGTTTTTTATTATCTATTTTAACTATTCATGATTTTTAATATTTATTTTAGTTTGAAGACTTAAATTTTATTATGATTTATAACTTTGAATGATTTTATTTTGATATAATTAGTTATTTGTATGACTGAAATTTTAGGCTTTTTAAAAAATTAAAAATCGATCCAATCCAAACCGAATAAACTTGAAATGGATTGGATCAAATTATAAAAAAAATTCAAATCGAAAGGATTGCATCTGATATTTTTTCTTTAAAATCGACAAATCCTAATTTTCTCATTCCATATTGTTCGGTCCTAGAAAGACTGTATTGCTATACCGTAAGCATGGGTGTATAGAAACCTTTTTTGTAGAGTTGCCCTTCCACAATTGTGAAACAAGCTGAGTTCTTCACGAGTTTTCTGTCTTCTTGGGTGTCGTCGGGCAACTTCATTTCTCTAAGTAAGCGACTATTGGCCTTCTACAGTCTCCATTATTAGTTATAACCATGATGCAGGTCGGCTCCGGGATGCTCTGCTGTATGACCGTTCGATGATTTCCCGATCCTTTCGAGCTGGCGAGCTTTGACAGGATGTCCGCTCTGTTGTTCTCATTTCGGAGTATGTACTGGACCACCGCCTCATCGAACTCGGCCAACAGTTCTCTAACTTCTTGGAGGTATTTCATCATTAGTGGTCCTTTAGCTTGATATATTCTTTCGACCTGCGAAGTTACTAGCTGTGAGTCACTGAGGATTTTTATCCTTCTTGCTCTGTGCTCTTAGGCAAGGCTTTTTTTGTCGACCTGGGCGGAAACCTGGTTAAGGCCGTCAGGCGACCTGTGAGATGCTGGATTTCTTTTTTGCTTTTAGGTTGCTTCATCTCAAGGACGGCCTTGCATTTGTTAGGGTTGACTTCAATTCCCTTGTTGGTGAGCATGAAGCCCAAGAACTTCCCAGCTGGTACCCCAAAAACGCATTTGGCCTGGTTCAATCTGATTTTTCGAGCCCTCAATTGCTCGAAATTTTCTCTGAGGTCAGCTACATGTGTAGTTTTGTACACCGACTTGACGATCATGTCGTCAATGTGCACCTCCAGGTTCCTTCTAATTTGGTTTTGGAAGACACGGTTCATCATCCTTTGGTAAGTCGCCCCGGCGTTCTTGAGGCCGAACGGTATGACGTTGTAGCAGAAATTTCCTTTTTCCGAGATGAATGCGGTCTTCTCGTGGTCATCTGGGAGCAGTGGGATTTGATTGTACCCAGAGTACGCATCCATGAATGACAGTAGTTGAAATCCTGATGAATTATCAACTAGCTGATCTATGTTGGGCATCGGGTATGAGTCCTTTGGGCAGACCTTATTGAGGTCAGTGTAGTCGACGCAGATTCTCCACTTCCCACTAGGTTTTTTCACCATCACCACGTTGGACAGCCAAGTGGTGTATTGTATTTCTCTAATGAAGTCAGCTTCTAACAGCTCGTCCACATGTTCGTTCAGAGCCTGCGTCGGTCAGGACCTATTTTTCTCTTCTTCTGAGACACTGGTTTCGACCCAGGGTACTTAGAAAGCTTGTGACAGCAAAAGGTTGGGTTTATTCCCGGGATCTCCGATGCCTTCCATGCAAACACGTCAGAGTTCTCATTGAGAAAGGAGACTAACTTCTTCTTAACCTCGGCCTCCAGGTCCTTTCCCACTTTGGTGTGTCCTTTGCCATCCTCCCCAATATTGACGTCTTCCAACTCTCCTTGAGGTTCTGGACAATGTGCTTAGAGCTCCTCCCTCATGTCCAATTCGACTAAGTTTACTTCGTTTCCACATGGGTATACCGACTGGTCTCTGGTAGGGGTTTTACCTCCGTCTCTGATTCTAGGGGGAGATGACGGCCCTCCATGATTGATCCTTAAAGTCTCGTAATAGCACTCCCAGGACTCTTTCTGATCCCTTCTTATAGTGATGACCTCATTTTTTGATCCCACCATCTTCAGTGCTTGGTGTTTGGTGGAGACTAACATGTCCCACTCGTGGATTGTAGGTCAGGCAATGATCACATTGTAGGAGGAAGGTGCATCTACTACCACAAATTGAACCCTTCTAGCTCGGAACGATTCTTTCGTCCCCAAGGTCAGCTTCAAGTCTATATATCCCTTTAGAGGGGATGACTCTCCGTTGAACCTAATCAGCTTGGCGGCGTAGGGTTTCAGGTCTTTTTCATCCAAGTTCATCCTTTGGAAAGCGTTCCAAAAGAGTATGTCTGCCGAACTTCCACGGTCAATGAAGATTCTCTTAACCCGGCAGTTAACTAACACCCCGGTAACCACCAATCCATCAGTGTGTCCAGGTACGACCATTTCTAGGTCTTCTTGAGTAAAGGACAGTCTTGGGGGAGTAGGGTTGTTGGCTCTTCCTTTGAAGGTTGGCCTGTCTCTGACGGACATGACCTCCTTTAGGTATTTTCTTCTTGCATTTGCAGTATCACCTCCTCCACCCAAAGCTCCGCTTATCACATTGCACTCGAATTTAGCTTCTTGAAACTCCTCATCTTTATCTTCGACCTTTTTGCCCTTTGGAGGACGGTCTTGTTCCCGATCTTTTCTCTCCTCCCTCTTAAGGCTGTGACTTCTGCTCCGACTTCTTTGCCTTCGCTTGCTGTTCTTCTTGCCCTGAGTTCGGATAATGTATTGTTTCAATTTCCCCTCTCTGATGTGTTTCTTGATAGCATCTTAGAGATCCCAGCAGTCATCCGTGATGTGACCGTTCTGGTTATGGAAAGCACAATATTTGTTTTTGTCCAACCCGCTCTTGCTCTTGAGGGGTCGAGGTCTCTCAACATTACGCATCTCGGTCTGAGCCACCTCTTTCCATATCCGAGATATGGACATGTTTAATGGTGTGTAAGTGTCATACTTGGTTCTTGGAGATCGGTCATCCGATCTCTTGTCACGAGAGTCGTTTCCTTTCTTTGATCCCTGCTGATCCCGGTCTTTGTTATTCTTGCTTGGGCTCCAGCGATTCGGACTCCGTCCTCTGGACTCTCCATAAGCCTTATGTATGTCTTCAATATCTATATATTTGTCCGACCTTCGTCGGAACTCCTCCAGATCGTTGACCGGGTTCTTATAGATTGACTTTGCGAGTGGAGAGTCGCCATCTAATCCTGAGATGATCAGATGCAGGTGTACTGGTTCAGTTAGGTTCCGGACCTTGAGGGCGACATCTTTAAATCGATCGAGGTATTTCCTCAATGATTCATTCTCCTTTTGCCGGATTATTCCTAAGGCATAGGCCGGCATCGGATGTGCCTTACTCGTTGCAAAATTCAGACGGAAAGTTCGAGCCAGGTCCTCGAACGAATCGATCGAGTTCCTCGGGAGCCTTGTTATCCATGACATTGCCTGACTTGTCAATGTCGTCGCAAAGATTCTGGCCTTAATAGGTCCAGTTATCCCGTTGAACAGCATCTCGGTATTGAAAGCCTCTAAGTGGGCATCTGAGTATTGACTTTCGTCATATGGAGGTATCCTAACACTTTTGAATCTCGGCGTAATTGCCAAGTTCATGAGCCTTTCAGTGAATGGACTATCATTAGCCTCCTCATCATGGAGATAATTATCTCCTTGGTTGTTGACCGGTCCTCTGCCTTCTTGGTGGTTGCCATGGCGAGGGCTCCGCACAGTCTCGGTTGTCGTGGCCGTGTTCTATTGTTGCGGCCTGCCAGTTTCAACTTGGCCTGCTCCTCCAGCTCGGCCTTCAGTGTTATGGTTTCGTAGCTCAGCCTCCAATGCCTCCATCCTCTGGGCATCCAACCTTTGTTAAGCTAGGAATCTGTTCTCCATCTCTTGCATCCTTTGAAGGATTGCATTCATGGCCCTAGTGACCACATCCCCTGGCTGATCATTCTGTGGAGGTGGACGTGCTGTCTCCACCGACGCGTTGGTCTGGGCTCTGAAGGGCGGCACTTGCGTGCCGACCTCTCCGATCTGGACATCCACCAACACAGGAGACACTTTTGATTGGAGATGTTCCAGCGCAGACAGGTGTGGCAGCGGCTGGGCAGTGCTGGAAGTCGAACGGGTGTTCGTCATCGTGGAATGGGAATCGAAATTTATCGTTCCAGAGACGGCGTCAATGTTCGGTCCTAGAAAGACTGTATTGCTATACCGTATGATATGCGTTCAGAGGTACCATAAGAATAGGTATGTATTTGGCCTATGGCCAATATCTCAATCATTGCGCACAAACAATAGGCTTATAACCAGGACGTGGGTGTGTGCACAATATTGGCAGTAATAATAATTAGGTTCAAAATGTGTACCTGAGGTCTTTAGGCTCTTATTTATAAAGATTACCTTCCTAGGCTTGGGACTTTGAGATCTCCCAGATTGTGTTAGGATTCAGCTCCCTTTCTATTGGAATAAGGTCCTTATCTTGAGTATTTAATTGCTTAATATTGTTGAGATAATTATGTATTTATCTCTTAGTGAATTCTTAGGTGAGTAGTTAGGATATGATATATATCCATAACACGTATAATCCTAATTTTAATTTTTCTTAGATATCCACCCGCATTAATTAATCATATTTTTGTTACAATTACGATGATTACGGACAAATCCTTGTTCATCGCGGTTTCTTTAGCATTGCCATAATAGTATAATACCATTAGCCAACCCCGCATTAAAATAACGGTATTAACTATTAAGTCTAAATTACGGTGATTACGGACAAATCCTTGTTCATCCATCGCGAACGAATGTACGGCTGTGATCGTCCGTGCGTGGTAAACCCGAATAAACACCCGTGTGGGGCCCACGTAGGCTTCTAAAATATAGAAGATTCTTTGGAATATGCCCTGTGACGGCGAAACCGCAAAATTGTTTCTTTTTTTTCCATGCCTTTCAATCCTCTTTCCCATTCTCCCATGAATTTCTAATCTCTTGTTTTAACTCACTCTTTCAAATCTGTCCATTACAAAATCATTACTACGTTCTGTTTGTCTTTCATTTATCTCGCAACCCCTTTTAATCCCTATGCACATTCATCATAGCCATCACAATCACACCCTTCTATCTTCTTTATATGCTCATCTCTTCTCTTCTTTCCACTCACACTAGCAAATCCTTTTTTTCTCTTTCTACCTAGTCATTACCCTTTCTCTTCTGCTTCCTCAAAACAAACAAACAAATACAAAAAATAAAATAAAATAAATAAAAAATGAGTGCTACCATATCTCAACTTGAACAGGAAGAGTTGCTCAACAAATTGGAGGTCTTCAAGATCAAAGGCAGAGACAAGCATGGCCGCAAGATCCTTCGCATTATCGGCAAATTCTTCCCTGGTAAACTCAATATTCTAATCACCTCTTAACTCAGATCGATTCGTGAATGAAAATTGACGGAATCTTATTTTATTTTCGTTTATTCGATTTGACGTGATTCAGCGCAGTTTGTGAGCGTTGACGTTCTGAAGAAGTACCTGGAGGAGAGGGTTTTCCGAAAGCTTGGGAAGAGGAAATTCTCGGTGCTCTACGTGCACACCGGCGTTCATCGGAGCGAGAATTTTCCCGGAATCTCCACCCTCCGATCGATCTACGACGCGATTCCGGCGAACGTGAAGGAAAATCTAGAAGCCGTTTATTTTATTCACCCAGGCCTACAGTCCCGCCTTTTCCTCGCCACCTTCGGCCGTTTTATCTTCAATGCAGGGTATGCATGAGTAACACCACGGAAAATTTTCGAATTCCTTTGCATTATGCACAATTTGGCCTAATTAAACGTTAATCACATTTAATTTTGACTAAATATCCTTTTCATCCTCAACAAAAAAAAATATGAAATCATTTTATTCCCTTCAAAAAAATAGCTATATTAATTATTTTTGTTCTTTTTGGGTGACTAATAGGAGTTTATTTTTAATTTTTGAGTTATCACAATTTTAAAGAATTGAATTTTCATAGGAATCACGGATCAAATTTTTTTAAGAAAAAAAATGGATTCTGTATTTTTTTTTTGTTGAGGATCCAAGTTTATTCTTTAATTTTTTATATATTTATAAATTATGATAGTAATGCTTTTTGTGTCGTATAACATAATTTTATCGCGTATATATATATATATATATATATGTATATATATATATAAATGTATATAAAGAGAAGAGAAAAAAAATATTAATCTTGTATATATATAGATCCCTCACATTTATATATATATATATACATATATATATATATAATATATATATATATATATATATGAGGTAGGATTCTTTGACACCAGTGTCAAATTTCAAATTTGATACCTTATCTGAAAGTCATCAGATCAAAAAAGATAAACGACTCTGATTTGTAAGCATGTGACATCATTGATCTTTTGATCTGATGACTTTCAGATGAAATGTCAAAGTATCCTATATATATATATATGGAAAAAATATTTCTCAAGCAGCTTGAAGCTTGAGATAAGTTTATCTCCGGCTATCACAAAATTACGTCATTTTATTTATTTATTTTCTTATATTAATTGATTCACTTTTGAATGGTTATGATTCTCTTTTTCTCTCTCTCTTTTTATTATCATTGATTCATCTTTGTACGTATAATTTAGTAGTCAGAGATAAAATCAATTTGAAAAATGATAAACTATATATATATATATATATATATATATGAGATAAAATATAGCTGGAAAAAAGTATAGCTGTCATATCTTTGTCAAAAACTAATCCCATAAACTATAGCTGTAAATTGTTTATTACTAATTGAATTGAATGACTAATATTGGGCTTCTATTGCGTGTGGTAGGCTGTACGGGAAAGTGAGGTACATGAGCAGGGTTGATTATCTATGGGAGAATGTGAGGAGGAACGAGGTGGAGATTCCAGAGTTTGTGTTTGATCATGATGAGGATTTGGAGTACCGTCCGATGATGGATTACGGGTTGGAGAGTGATCACGCTAGAGTGTACGGTGGTGGTGCTCCCACCATGGATTCGCCTGTGACCACTTACTCCATGAGGTGCATCTCATAGGATCTTTTCCTTGGATTCAGTAGTCCTCCACTCCTTTGAACCAGTTTTTTTTTTTTTTTTTGCCCTTTCTTTTAAGCTAGGCCTCCTAGTTAGTTATCCGACCCCATACATGTGGATGTTTGATATTGTGCAGAAAGAAAAAAAGGAAAATGGTAAAGAGTAGTTGTCTTTTTTTTTTTTTGAAAAAAATTATTCTTATGCTACATGTGATAACTTTTTCTCTTACACACCATTCGATAACTGTATCATCTTTTTTTCTTTTATTTTTTATTTTTCAGATGATGGAGCCCACAAATTTATCATTATGACATCAGATAACTTATCTCTTCTAACATGAGATTAATAAAATCTTTTTTTTTTAAAAAAAAAGGGCCCTTTTTTATTTTCTTCAAAATTACTAAATAATATTTTCAATTTTGATTGGATGAATCAATTTTGGTCTTATTATAGGGACAAATTATTCTATCTATCATTTTTTCTGCTTACCTTTGTTTACTATTTTTCAACACCGTTAGATCAAAATCTCAATAAGAGATGAAAAATTCTGCTTACCTTTGATTACTACCCTTCAATACCGTTAGATCAGAATCTCAATAAGAGATGAAAAATGTAGTTGAAATTTTGATCTAATGTTGTTGAATGACAGTAGGCAAAGATAGACAGAAAAAATGGTAGGTAGAATAACATATTTTCTTATTATAAATTAATCCACCCGCGGATTCTTTTGATACTTATTCGGTAATATGTGTTTTGATCTTTCTTATTTTTATTTTTAGGTTCAACAAGAGCTTCTTGCCAAAAGCCCTTCGCTAAACTATCTTAATATAACTAAAAGTACACTAAATATAATGCCTACCATTTTATGATAGATTTTTTATGTAGAAAATGAGCCAAACACCATAACTAGTGTTTGCTTTTATGTTAGTATTCTGGTAGAGATGTTACAACTGACATTTGAGACAAAAGTGGTATTGACGCTAGATTTCGCTTTACTACATTAAACGTGACTAATAATAGACTGACGGTCAGATTATGTTATTTCTATTGTTGTATAAATATCATAATAACATTTAAGATGGATTGTCTGCGATTGAGGATGTTTGTTTGGATCAGTTTTAAAGTAAAAATTATTTTATCCAATATATTCAATTTGATCATTTAATCATTCATTCGGTTTGAATTTTTTTTTTAAATCCAATTCAATTCAATTTTATTCAGATTGGATTAGATTGATTTTTAATTTTTTGAAGAGCCTAAAATTTCAGTCATATAAATCACTAGTTATATCTAAATGAAGCTATATAAAGTTATAAACAATTGAAAAATTCAAATCTTAAAACACATGAATAGTTAAAATAGAGTAATAGACAATAAAAAATTAAAACAAGATAATTTGCTATTAATAACATTTAAAATTCCAAGTCAAAAATAATAAATATATAATATATTGAATTGATTTTGATTGGATGAGTTTTCACCAATCAAAACAAAAATTGATCCAATCCATTTAAAGTATACGAGTTTTTTTTGGTTTTTGATTTTTTTGATTTTTGATTAATTTGATTATCGATTTCTTGGCTTGATCACCATAGTTTGGATCGATTGATGGACACTCCTATCGTGATTTAACGATATACTTTTATGAATGACATTCTTCTGAGATGCATCCATTTCATTCTTAAATTCCAAAATAAAAATAAAAATAAAAATCTTTAAGATGTTTGCTACAGTGCAACAAACAGTTGTTCATACTTCATCATGGTCACGTAATGGGCATTTGTATGATGTATGAGATATTTCCATTACAAATATTGGTCTAAACTCAGCATAAACAATAAATTGTTTTTTTTTTTTTTGGCTTAACTATATCCAGAGCGCGTGGGCGCGTGTGAAACAGTTGTAGAGCTCTGTTAGGTTTTCGCGGTTTATGGTGGGAAAAGGGGGAAGATCCCTCAATCCTGAGGGGGAAATAGCGATCGGTAGGGATTTGAAGAAGGCAAAGGGTGAGACTATGATGGATCTGGAGATGCATGAAGAACCTCAGATTGCGGGCGCAATGGAGGTTGAAGCTGGAAGTGAGGATCAGTCGTTGGAAGTGGAGGCGACGGATCTGGTTCATGGTGACGAAGAAGATCTCAAGAGAGACTCGCGAAAATTGGTTTCGTATAAAGACCATCTTCTGCGCGTTAATGGAGTTTGGGATGGCAACCCCGAAGATGAAGACAACGACTGGCTTGTTGAATGCAGAAGGGAGGAATGTGAAGATGAGAAGGCTTTGAAGGCGTACGAACAGTCAGGGGATGATGATCCTCTGAACCCGTTCTACCAATTTGACGTCTTGGAAAAGCTCGAACAGTGCAAAAGATGGAGGAAGGCCCTGATAGTCAAGCTCATGGGGAAGAGACTAGGGGCAAAATTCCTGTGGAACAGATTGCATAGACTCTGGAATCTTGAAGGAGATTACAAGGTCTTGGATCTGGAAAATGACCATTATATGGTTGAATTTGAAAAAATACAAGACTACCTCTTTGTACAGCAGCAGTGTCCATGGATTGCGGCTGACCACTATCATATAGTGCAAAGGTGGAGGCCCAATTTTGATCCGTATGATGATCGAGTAAAAAACCTGGCGGTGTGGATCAGAATCTCAGGAGTACATAGGGAATTCTATACCCACAAGGATCTTTGGAGAATGGGCAATATGGTGGGAAGAACTTTGAGGATTGATGAAAGTTCTCTGAGGATCAGTGGCCAAGGACATCTTGAAGAAATTACTGACAAGCGCAGGTTTGCTCGAATCTGGGTTGAAATTGATTTGAGCAATAGCCTTCTTTCAAAATTCAGGATAGGACAGAGGCAGTTATACATTGGCTACGAAGGATTACACATGATCTGTTTCCTGTGTAGAAAGTATGGTCATAGGAAGGATCAATGTCTGATTAATCCAGAGAAATTGAAGAAAAATAGGGATGATAATGGGAAGGAGGTTTCATGTCAGAAAATGGATCACACTCACATAGTAGCTAATAACAAAGAAGAGATAGAGAAGAGCCAAGAAGAGAATGGCTTTGGTAGTTGGATGACAGTCCAGAGAAAGAAAAATAAAAGGCAAATGCAGAATCAAAAACAGAAGGAAGTCCAAACGAGTAAAGAGAAAGCTGGCACAGAAGGAAGTAGCAAATCACCTATGATTTATGCTGCTGGATCAAGATTTGGTCCACCAGAAGTAAATAAAGAAGAGGGTACTGTAGGGGAGAAGGTTTATCCCTCAGCTTTGGGAGCCAATGTTACCAAGTCTGAGGGTGAAACTAGTCAGAAGAAGAGCCAAAATGGAAGAAAGAAAAAGAGTAGCACAGAAAGCAATGCAAATAAACAGATGCAAGGAGTAGAAGCCAAAGTCTTGGGGAAAAAAGTTTTAAACTCTCATCCTCAGGAGGTGAATAAGGAGAGTATGCAGATCAATACAAGGAGGGAAACTATCCTGGTAGACAGATGAAGGAACAAAGGGATTACTCATGGGGAACAGTCTCTTAGTACAAAGTCATCTGGGAGCTTTGGATCAAATTTTCCAGCAAGAAGTGAGTTAAATGCCAATTTGATTTCTTCTGGTATAAAGGAAAATCCTCCTGATGGTGTTGGTGAAGGTAAGGCTTCGTGCCAAGAATGAAGAGTTGCAATGGCTCTAGATGACATAACTAATGCCATAGGCAGCAAGACAATAACCAAGGATTTGGTTTAGTTTAAGGTTGGTCTCTGTCCTGTATTTTATTTCCAGTTTTTTATGATAGTTTGTACTTGGAATTGTAGAGGGGCGGGGAAAAAAGGATTCTCCTCCCTCATAAAGGATATGGTTTTTCAAAACAAAATTCAAGTTCTAGCTCTGCTAGAAACTAGAATTAGTGGTAAAAAGGCTGAGCGTGTAGCTAGAAGACTTGGCTTTGATAGCTTTTTCATTAGAGATGCTGTGGGTTTTTCGGGTGGTAATGGAATAAAATACGTACGAATGTGAAGATAATTGAGGAGGACCATCAATTTGTCCATACAAGCCTTTGTTGGATAAATTCTGGAGTTGAAGAAAAGTTCACATTTATTTATGGCAGTCCCAGGAGGTCAGATAGGATGGAGCTTTGGAATGGCTCGAGGAGAATAGCTTAGAGTGGATTTGAAAAATGGGCTGTCATGGGTGACTTTAATGCCTATGTTGAAGGAGACAAACAAGGTGGTTCTGAAGTTGGTTGGGGAAGTATGCAAGACTTTGAAAATTGCCTCAATGATTGTGGCTTGTCGGATTTAGGCTTCTCAGACCCAAATTTACTTGGAAAAGAGGAGCCCTTCAAGACAGGATTGACAGGCTGGTGGTGAATGATGACTGGTTCCTGGGATTTCCTAACAGATCCATAGTCCGCTCTCACTTCCATGGTTTTGATCACAGACCGATTATATTAAAAGATGACAGTGGAGCTCCTTGTTTAGGAGGAATCAAACCATTCAGATTCTTAGCTGCTTGGTTGACAAATGACAGTTTTAGTGGAGTAGTGAACAAGTGTTGGAGTGGGAATAAAAACTGGATTCCTGCTAAAGATGATTTCCAGAAGGAAGCTGTTGAATGACATCAACATAAATTCAAGGAGGATCAGAGAAGAAAATTTCAGATTCAAAGGAAGTTAAGAGGAGTAGATAACCAGCTCAATGGGGGTTCAAATGAATCCCTATAAATATTTCATAGGGAGTTATGGCAGGAACTTAATAAAATTTATATCCAAGAGGAGATCACCTGGTTTCAAAGGTCTAGAAGTAATTGGCTCGAGTTTGGAGACATGAACTCAAGGTTCTTTCATGCTGCAACAGTTGCAAGAACCATAAGAAATAAGGTCATAACACTTAAGGACGAGAGGAGAGAGTGGATTCAGGACCAAGAAGCTCTCAAAGATATGGTTGTAGGCTTCTTTAAAAATCTGTATGAGGAAGAAAATCATTGTAAACAGAAGCTGAACACTGAGAATTTATTCACAGTGTTAGAGGGCCAGAAGTGGAGAAACATTGGAAAGATTCCTGATGTGGAGGAAATTAGAAGAACCATTTTCAAGATGCAGCCTTTTAAAGCCCCTGGTGCTGATGGCCTACATGCAGTTTTCTTTCATACACAGTG